GGTTGGTGCCACTGTTTCTGCCTCCCTTGAGCTGGGGTTGCAAGCATGCAACGCCACACAGCCTTTCTTTCTTTTCTTATTTTCTTTCTAAGTGGGGGATCAAGAGATCCAACTCAGTTTTTTGACTTGCAGGGCAAGCACATTAGAAGTTGAGTTCTATCCCCAGTGCTCACTTCAGTGTTTTTTTAAGGCAGTAAACTCTTGTAAAGTGTTTGTATCTTTTTACATATGGAACTGTAGGACGTGAGGCTGTGTCTTATTTTGAAACTGGATTCATCCATGACTGAGGTTGAGACTCCTTTCATATGAATTGTTTTATTTTTCCTTTAACATATTTGTTAAGCATTTATAATCTATTCTAACTGCTCTCTCTCTCTACATATATATATATATATATATATATATATATATATATATATATATATGCCAGTCTCCTCTTCTTCTTCTTCTTCTTCTTCTTCTTCTTCTTCTTCTTCTTCTTCTTCTTCTTCTTCTTCTTCTTCTTCAAGACAGGGCCTTAGTATGTTCCTGGTTAGCCTTGAACTCAGAGGCCTGTACCACCCTGCCAGGTCTTGGCTGCCAGACTTCTTATGTCATAATGAATTTAAAAATTAAAAGCAAAATGTAGATGTATCTCCGTGGTAGAGTGTTTGCCTACTTGCACAAAGTCTGGGTTTCAGTCCCCAAAACTAGGGAACACACAGATACACATATCATTGTATGTAAGACAGGAAGTCAGTTTTCTATCACAGAAATTTTTTTCTTTGTTTGTTGGCTCTCTCTCTCTCTCTCTCTCTCTCTCTCTCTCTCTCTCAGAAGAGTTTCTCTAGCTGTCTGGTTTTTCTGTATTTCTGGTTGAACTTGCTCTGTAGACCAGGATGGCCTCAAACTCACAGAGGTCTGCCTGCTCATGCCTCCTGAGTGCTAGAGTTCTTAAACTGTTGCCTGAAGGGTTGCTCTCCCAAATACAGAAGATTTCCTTCTCAACCTTCTCCAATCACTGATTCAAGCTGTGCTTTTGATGTCCTTTCTTCATGATCCTAAATGAAGCAGCCTAGCATCCCTACCCTTCCATTTGTCTTTATTGCCCATATCACTATACACCTTCCGTGCAAAGAAAATCATAAAGATAAACTTCAAACAAGGGAAATGGAAAGCAAGTTATGACATGTTTAATCTAACTGGAAGGCTCAGGGATTACACATCACCTTCCTAAACTATTCTAGATAAAAGGACAGTATTTTATGATAACTAAATCTTGGAAGTAAACCGCTGAGGGTTGTGGGGTCCAGGCATGCTCCCTGTGACAGCCAGAACAGCACAAAGCAGAGTCCCCATAGTGTGGTCTGTAGTAGTGAAAAGGGGTGCTTGCTTCACTAGGTTAATACTCCTCTTATCACAGGAAGGAAGTGGGGACATCTCTCAAAAGCCACAACATAAACTTTTAGTAGATTCAAAACCTGACATCAATTTCCAGCCACCACCCATGGCTTGGACCTTTCTACAGGTAGGTTCCTACAAGACTGCTCCCCTTCGCATCCACAAGCTGCCCTTACACGGGAGAGTAGTCTGCAGAAGCACACTCAGGATCATCACCGGCTTTATTTTGGAGGAGCTTGGGCACTTCCGGAAGTGGCGATCTTAGTTTCCGATAAGAAGGTCTTCTTGAACGGACGGGAGACCGATAGTGACTTCCGCCAGCGCGAACGTCACCTCGTTCCTCGTGGTCACAAGTTTGTGGGCTTTTTGTTTATGTCTCACGGCCCCTGTGTTTACCAGAGCCCTCTCTAGCCGTGTGTGGAGAGCTACTTAGCTTCTGGAGCACAGCTTGGGCCAGAGAGTCGCTCGGTTGTGCGCGCCGAGGCGCCCCCTACAGGCGGTACCCGAGGCTGATGCAGGAGAAGGGGTGTGCGAACCTCACAGTCACTGCAAAGCCCAGTGCTGGGAGGGAGGCAATACAGAGAGCAGCCCTAGCTGTGCCCTGGGAAGCAGCCTTGGCTTGAGGGACCAAGGCAGTAAGGACCAAGGACAGGGCTCCCCCTTCCCCTTGGGGAAGACTGGCCACTGGAAGCTGAGGGCAGGACACTGGGCAGGAGAGGTGTCAGGCAGGGTTCAGAAGCTACATGCAGGACCTCATGCTGTAGAGTTAGGGCTTTCTTTCAACCCTAACTTCCTTATGCAGGGTCCTGTGACCATTGGGATAGGTTAGAATTGCATTACTGGTGGACAGGACCTCGGGGAGGACGCTCTGGGGTGCTATTGATGGGGGCGGGGTGAGTCAGAATTACACTTCTTGATAGTCAGGACATGGACATTGGACGTGGTGTTAGAGGCCTTCGACCACCGTCTGTGTTTTAGGTTTTCTTGCGTGTTTTGTTTTGAATGGTTTATTTTGGTTAGGGATTTCGGTTTGAGACTCTGGAACTAAATTAGCAAGAAATAGGTAGGAAGATAGATCTAGCCAAATTAGCTTTAAAAACATAATCACTTTGGAAATAAACAAAATTTGATAATTGTTTTATGGAATTATGAGGACATTTATGAGGACAAAGTCCACATTACATTGTGAATGGACTATGTTTAAAATATCTGATATTGATAAACTTCAACATGAATTTCATGGTGAAAAATGGAAGCTGTGTCTAACTCTTGTAAGGTTTAGTAAGTGAGTTACATTAAGAACAAACTCTCTTGAGTCTTGCCAAGGATCCTTCTCCCCATTGTTAAAAACACAAAACCAACGGGGGGGGGCAGGGGAGACACATTTTTCCTCCCTGTTGGAAATCCTTAGACTGTGTTTGCTCACTGTACAATGACCAGAATGCAGAGCACAGAATACTTTAAGAGGACAGCGATACTCCCAGTGCACACGCCAGCTGTGCTGCCAGAGAACACCCTCTGTAACTGACAACTTCCTGACCATAGCGCTCTGTACCCTCTTATTTGACATTAGCAAGAATAACCATTGAATGTGTATCAAAACCCATCCCCTCTTTTGTTAAAAACCTTAGGCAATTCCAGCAAATAAAAAATGAAATTAAACTTTGTGGTATTTGTTCTTTTAATGTATATCTCTCTCTATATATATATTTATATATCTATATCTATATAGTCCATGTTTTTAAATAGACACTAGACACTAGTTAGTTCTGCATGCCTCTAATCCCAAGCCCTTGGAAGGGAGGAGCAAGATGCTGTGAGTTCCAGGACAGTCTAGACTACATAATGAAATCTTCCAGAAACCCAAATAATTATAACAACAACAACAAAAGAGTTGACACTTTTGCATCATCTTTCAGTGACCAAGAACTTTCTTTTTCTTCTTTTTGGCTTAATAAGTTCCCTCAGTTTTGCTAAATATATAAAGAAAAACTCCACGGTTTAGCTGTGTTCCCATGTTCTGCACTCAGGTGATGTAACCTGTTCTTGCTCTTTCCATTGCTGTCAGCATCACAGCTGATTACTGGGGAGGGAAGGCAGTGCTAGGGAGAGAAGCCAGGGTTTTCTGCTGAGTCATACCCAGAGCCAAGAGTGAGCCCAGATGCTCTGCTGCAGGCTGCTGCAGGCTGTGAAGCTGCCCTGCTTGCCCCTAGCTGACTGGTGCTGACCCTGGTCATTTCTGCACTAAATGTCCTCAGGTGGTGCAGATGTCACTGACTGGCCTGTGTCCTAACGGACAGGCCACATGAATCTTCCTCACAGCTAGTGCTGGTGTCTCCTCAGTCTATACTGAAAGAGGCTCCACTTGCAAACAGTAAACAAACTAGGTTCACAGTGTTTTGGACAAACAGGACCTTCAAGCAATTAGGGAACAAAGTGCTTCTCATTGTGCCTAACTCTCAGCTATGGAACAGGGTTCTTCTTGGGAGCCCAGACTGATTGAATTTCCAAGACACCTTGTTGGCCAGGGGCTTCTGCAGCATGCCACCTGCACACCCGGGACCCTTGTTTTCCCAGCTAAAACGCATCCACATGGCCTCACATGCATCTGGAATAGGATATCTGCACTACTTGACTGTGTTCTGGGTCCTGTATAGCCAGGTCCCTACTGCTGTTAGACACATGTGCCTTTAAGGGCCCTCTTCCCAAGGGCTGTCTCAGGAGCTTCCCTGCTTCTCTCCCCTCACTGCTCAGGAGATGAACCTTTTCTGGGATGTTGGCTCTGCTCTGCTCATCCTTCTGAGAAGCCTCACTGTGCTGACATCTCAGCATCTTCTTCACTGGACCTTGTCACAGTTCTGAGAGTGTCCCATTCTCTGCTGGCATGAAAACTTCCTCAAAGTAAGATCCTGCCATAGCCTTCGCTCCACCTTGCTCAGAGCCTGCTTCTCTGGCTAAGGTGGTCCTGGGGGAAATGGGGCCAGTACAGCCCCATTGGCCTTCAGCCCAGGGTTGGAGGCAGAGGCAGAGAACATGTTCCACAGAGACACTCTGTAGAGACGGATGTCACCCTTGCTTGTTGTAGGAGAGCAACACCTCGGCTCACCATGTGGGAACCATGATGTTTAAGCTCAAGCAGGCCCCCGAACTCAGGCAGCTGTGCCCTGTCTAGTGCCCGCCATCTGGATGGCACCATAGCTGGGGCTGAAAAGGACACTAGCGCTGACTGAGGCTGGTGGTGAGGAGGAGTGCCAAGAGGGCAGTGTGGGAACCCCTAGGATTTATTTTATCAGGCACAGCATGGACAGAGAAAGTCCAGCCATAGGACCTGTTGCTATGGCAGGAATTGGGAGCCCAGTGTGTGTGCGTCCCTACACCAGGCTGCTCTGAGCAGTTATGTGCAGAACCAGGCTGGCCTTGAAGGAGGACAGAGATAACTGCAGTCTGGAGGGAGCAGTGCAGGTGACAGGCCTCCCATGGGGGTGAAAACTGTTGAGCATCCACATTTCACTGTGATCTACAAATTATTAACCCAGAGTTTACAAGGTGAATAGGGGTGACCTCCCTGCTGTCACTTTCCAGCTCTGTGACCCTGGGCTTTATGATTAACAAATATCCAGGAGCCAACCGGTGAGGTGCCAACTCAGGTCTGCTCACCAGTTGTTAGGCAGACCCAGACTACCTGTACTGCATGCGACCAGAGGCTGATGCCCTTCCAGACACTCTTGGTTGTGCAGTAGCAGGTAAGGCTGGCAGCACTGTGGGGAGGGTGTCGGCATGGGACTGGAGTCCTAGAACCTGCCTGAGGGCTCAAGGATAAAAGTTTGCAGCAATGGGTGGTCTTGTTTGTTTATTTCTGTCAGCTCTGTCATCTAAAGTTTTATAATCCTTGGGAAGGAGATCTGCAGGAAAACACCTGGAAACACAGAATGCCTGTAATGCACAGTCCACAGACAGTGACCTAATGGGTGCATGGGGTCCATCTGCAGCACTGGGCTTGTTTATGTACCCAGAGCTGCAGAAGGTTTCTAGTAGGGTGAAGAAGGATGTAGTCAGGTGTTACTGGACAGACATCCTCCCAGTGTCAGTGTCTGCTTCCTGTCTGGTGACAGCAGGAAGATACACCCTTGAAGAGAGGCTAAATGGGTCTTGGGAGGTTGGGAGGCAGAAGGTCAGGGGACTTACATGGTTTCTTTTCTCTTCATTCCTCAGGGAAAGTGCCAGGCAGGTATACCTGTCTCTCCTGGATGCTGAGATTTAAGACCCAGAAATCTGCCATGGCTCCTTATCACATCCGCCAGTACCAGGACAATGACCAGAAAAGTGTCCTGGATTTGTTCATAAGAGGAATGGAAGAACACATCCCTGCCACCTTCCGCCACATGCTGACTCTGCCAAGGACCTTCCTTCTCTTACTTGGGTTGCCGCTTGCCATGATCCTGGTGTCTGGCTCCTGGCTGCTAGCTGCTATGAGCATTTTCTTTGTGCTTCTTCTCATGAAGCTCCTTGCAAGACAGCCGTGGAAGAGATACGTGGCCAAGTGTTTGCACACAGACATGGCTGACATCACCAAGTCCTACATGAATGCACGTGGCTCCTGCTTCTGGGTGGCTGAGTCTGGGGGAGAGCTGGTGGGCATTGTGGGTGGTCTACCAGTCAAGGATCCCCCATTAGGGAGGAAGCAGCTGGAGCTCTTTCACCTGTCTGTATCCTCACAGCATCGAGGACAGGGGATTGCGAAAGCACTGATCAGAACTCTCCTCCAGTTTGCACGGGACCAGGGCTACAGTGATGTCGTCCTTGAGACCAGCATCTTACCCAAAGGCGCTCAGGCTCTTTACATGAGTATGGGCTTCCAGAAGACAGGACAGTACTTCATAAGTGTGTTCTGGAGGTTAGTGGGTGTTCCTGCAATTCAATTAAAGCATCCTCTCCCTTTTGCTTAGGACGTGGGGCTGAAACCTATGGTCCTGTGCAGCAAGCAGGTCCCATCCACTCTTCAGGAGTCAGTGAACCCTGTCATGTGAGATAATGAACAAAAAAAGCTCCTATCTGGTGCACACCAGATTTTAATTCATGTGATGACTGAGTTGGGGGTTTGAGCGTTCTAACACATTCTTGGTTTCTGGGGTGCTTGTGTTTCGTATACCTAGCTCCATTGTACAGTTCTGCCTGTCTACCATGGAATAGTTCACGAGTCAGTGAAGGGGCTGGAGATTGAAACATGCACACACACACACACACACACACACACACACACACACACACACACGCACAGAGAGAGAGACACGGGTCACCCTTGAAACAAGAAAACCAATTGTATTGTGTTCCAGGGCTGCTTATAAAGGGCTCTTCTTGACTAACAGGCACACCCTGCACTGGCTCAGGAGGATTGTGGGGCAGCTTCTCCTGTGTTCATGCATTGGGAGTACTGTGGAGCAGGCTAAATTGTGTGCTGGCATTCGAGTGCAAACCAATGTTTATACCAAAACCCACTCAGCAGTTAGTCCCCTTTCTTCCTCTCATTCTTTCTACTGTGAAGAAGCTAAGTTCAATGCAGGATTCACAGTGGAAGGCAAACCAGGAGGGCAAACCAAAATTGCCCTCTGACATGTACTTTCCAGCTGTGGCTCCCTAGACAGCTCCTCCCCAAAAGATATTTCTTAAAAAGTGGAATCTTAGTGTGGTGATTCTCAGCCATAACCCCACAACTTCAATGGTTTTGAGTCAGTGAAGTGGTGGTATTGTGGTCACTGGATCGAGGAATCGCTTAGATCTGAATCTTTATTCTGGCACAGCACTCAGGGTTGGAGAGAGAGTTCAGCTCTGTGCACAGCTGTGGGGTGTCTTCATAGTGGAGAGACCAGGCTCCCCTCAACCAACAGTCTCAGACTTGATTCCTCCGTAATGAGACCAGCAGTGTACAACTTCCGATGAGAGGCCAAAGGAGGAAGTGTGATGTGGTCTGAAGACATTACTACTGATTGTACTCATGAATACTGTGCCAAATAATCCTGAATAAACCAACAGAGTCCTGAAAGACAGGGCTATCTTTAAAAAATCTCAACTTTGATCCCTTTTTTTTTTTAATCATTTTTAAAAAGATAGTTTTAAGAGACAAGGCACCTACAGGCATTGTAGAGAGACATGCCATGATGTGAATATCTTATTTCAAATACTTTAAGGGGCACATGCAGGCAGGTAAATGGAAGAGCCCCAGAGAGCAGGCAGAAAGCTGTAGGTAGTGGTGAACTTGTATGAAAGGCACAAGACATACCATTAAGTGTTTCATTTCTGTTTTATTCTGTAGCTTTTTTCATCAGGGGGACAATAATCTTTTTGAGACCCTCTCTAGCTACATAGCCCAGATTGGCCTCAAAGTCTCAATCCTCCATTTTACCAGGCTTCTGAATACTAGAATTACAGGTGTCTTCGACCATTCCTAGTTTGAAATTGATTTTGAAGTCAAGAAAGAGCAAACCCGTTTCCTTCCTCTAGTATCCTAGAGCTACAGTGAAGACTAAACCACACACATAGCACACCTAGCATGAGCAGGGAGCACAGGAGCCTGCAGGTAACCTGAGCAGGTGTTGGAGTCCCTAGGACTCTCACTTGTCAGCATGTACCGGCACCACACTGCTTATTTTAAAGACTTGTTTTATATGAGGTGAACAAGTGTTCTGCTTCCATCTATGTATGTATGTGGACTGTGCATGTGTGCCTGGTGGTGCAGTGAGAAGAGGAATTCAGCTCCTTGGCACTGGAGTTACAGAAGATTGTAAGGTGCCATGTGGGCTCACACCTGCCTGCATCTCCAGGAGACCTGATGCCCTCATCTGGCCTCTGCCAGCATCTGCACACACCAAGGCATTAACTCACAGACACACAAAGAAAAACAACATAAACTTCACAGTAAATGCAAGACTGAGAGTAATCATTTTTTTAAATACTATTCTTTGTTTCAAACCTTTATACAGTGAACATATGTTAAGTTTACAACCAGGGATGGAAAAAGTTAATGTTTTTATAACATTGAGATTTTCAGAGATTTCACAAAACTTCTTGTTGACATTCTACAAATGACATCATCAAATAATTTCTCAATACCGTCTTCTGTGATGAGAGTTTATATATTTGTGAGAAGAAATGGTACTTTATGGCTTACTGATATATTTATGTGCTAATTGTTTTATACAAGCATCTGTATGTGAAATCATTTAACCATTCAGTTAATGGTATAAAGTTAAAAAGTGGTCAAAATGCTCAAAAGAGAGCCAGCAAGACAGCTCAGCAGGTGATCGTGACTGCTGCCACGCCTGATCACCTATTCCTGTGACTCACGTGGTAGAAGGAAAGGGTCTGGCAAGTTGTAGTCCACATCTACACCTGGACTCTAGTGCACAAATGCCCAAGGATACACATATAATAAATATAATATACTATAAATGATAGATAAATAAGTGTAAGTTAAAAGTATTCAAAGCAGGTGGCATCCATTACTCATCCAAATGTTCTATTTGTTATGAACAGTTAGGATCATAAGAAACTGAATTCTCTGAACACAAACCAGATCCTTGACTACACAGTGAGTCTGAGGTGAGCTTGTCTACCTCAATTTCTGTCTCAAAAACAACAAACACTGTATTTGATTCCATGTTAAAACACGGTTAGATGTGCCAACTTCAAACCACATTCTGCAAGTACTTTATAAATTTAATATTTATTTATTTATTTTTAAAGATATATATGTTTTAATTTACATGTATGAGTGTTGTTTTGCCCGCATTTATGTGTGTATACCATAAGTGTGCCTACTGTGCCCATGAAGGGCAAATGAGGGTGTCAGATTCCCTAGAACTGGGTTTATGGATAGTTATGTATAGAAACTCCTTCAGCTAGTAGCATCTAAGTTATCAGCCTACTTGGGCATGGCCTCTTATACTATAAATGCCCATGTAAAGCACACACTCCCTCTCTCTCTCCTGGCTCCAGGATTCGGTTGCTGTTTCCTGTTCGAGCAAAGCACTGTGAGCTGTGAGTCTACCCCTAAATCAATAACCCTTTATTGTACTCAATTCTGAGCTAGTGTGGGATTTCTTTTCAGCATCCGTCTTCATCTGGTGCCCCACATGGATCCCAAATCCACACCTACAAGGTGGACCAGTCTAAAAGTCCCAAACGGTCCATGGCCCAGAAGGTCTCCTACCCCCGCCCGCCTGTCTTGCTTTCACCTACTAAGTTTTTTTTTGTTGTTGTTGTTGTTTTGCTTGTTTGTTTGTTTTGTAAAACCCACAACAGTGGAGCTAAACTCAGTGACTTGGATATTTCCCAGGCTGGCAGGCACACATTTTCCCTCTCCACTGCTGCATTCCCTGCCATACAGCAACTTGTGAAACTTCCAGTTTGTATTCCCTTCTGGTGAGGTCTGGGCTCCTTGCTCCATGTATGGAATTGATTTAACCGATTTTAATTTGTCTAGCAAAGCATATTTGTTAGTATTTAACCAGGCCTAAAGGTGAAAAACCAAAGCAGCACAGGACTGCCCATGCCACCACCAGTCGTGACTCTTCGCCATGTGGCTGCAACCACAACATCTACTGGACAATAAAGATTATTACACCTAAAACAATGTACCGAATCTCATAACAAAGGTAACTATTTGATTAATAAATAAATCAATAAACTTGAAAGTTATATAATTGCAAGTTATATAATTACAGACAATATTACCAATCAAAATTTTAATAATCATTTTGCTGATACTATGGATTGTATTCTGCAAGGCTTATATGATTATTGTGATACATCTATTTATTGGATTTTGGGACTCAGTTTCTTTCTTCATATTATATCCTTAAGAAAATGGTTTGATAGCAGAGCCAAGAATGAGGCACTTTTATAAATGATGCAGTCTTTACAGAACAGCTAGCTGACAGGATTAATACCATCAAAAATTGAAGTTACCTGAAAAAATTAATACTATTGAAAAAGATAACATTAATTTGACAAGCAAAATTTAATCCATGTCAAAGGGTATCTGAAAGAATTCATACTGCTAAATTTGACAATCAAAATCTGTTAAAAAAAGTTATGATAGGTTAGCAGATAGAGTATCTTTCCAGGAAGGCAATCTGCACGCTATCCAAATAATGTCCACAGATCAGATGTTATCTTTAAAGGAAAATCTTCAGACCTTGGAATCACATGTGCAGAAGGAGTACCAGAGGATAGGTGCCTCCATGAAATCACTAGAAATATATACAGGCCAAAAGACAGTAGTAAAAAGATTAGAAATGATTGAGAAAATTATTGAAGCTTATGAGCAGGGAAAGAAGGTACAAGGACAGGATTTAACATCACCAGTACCTGTCAGAGATGACTTACCAGGGTTTTAGCTTCCTACCCTGTAATCTACTCTGAAAAAGCATCAATTTCTAAATGCCCAAAAGGATCCAAAGAAGTTAGGTGGATACCTATAGGAATGAATGATCTGAAAGAAATTAAGCAAGCAGTAATATCTTATGGCTTGCATTCTGCATTTGTTAGGGAGATGATAATGTCATGGGCTTCTAGCATTAAGGATACCCCACATGACTGGTATTCAGCAGTCCTGGATGATGGGCCACAATTACTGTGGAAATGTTATTTGTGAGAAGAGACAAAATTTTTAGAACAATAGAAAAAAGCAAAAGGACTTGAGACTTCCAAAGATCAAATTCTTGGCAAGGGCACTTATGCTGGCCCACAGGTTCAAGATCTTTATGTTGAACAAATCTTGTCCCTATGCCACAAAGCAGCCTTAAATGCTTGAGACAGGATTCAGGAACTAGGAAGATTAATTAAATCATATGTCAGGGTTAAACAGGGCCAGAGAGAACCTTTTAGTGACTTTTTACAAAGACTAACAAAGGCTGTACAAATAGGAGTAACAGACACAGATACTAGATGAGTACTTACTGAATCTTTGGCTTTTGAAAATGCCAACTTAGAATGCAAAAAGATACTTGGGCCTTTAAAGGTTAGATCAGCACCAATGGCTGAATGGATCCTGCATACATTGAACATTGAGACATTTGACTATAATACTGAATCTTGGGTAGGAGAAGCAATTTCCAAAGGTATGAGGAGACATCAAAATGCCAAATGTTTTAATAGGACATCTGCAAAGGGAGTGTAGACAAAGAATTCCTAGAAATAATGTCTCCTCTGTGAATGGCAAAAATAAAAGATATCATCAACCTTTTGGATTATGAAGAAAGTGTGGCAAAGGCTGATATTGGACCAATGAATGTAATCAACAAAAGATAGACAATGCAACATGATACCATCAGGAAACTCTTTTGAGGGCCTCTCCTAGGCCCCCAAGTCAAAAGTGGTCCAGTCATTCCCAGTCACTGTGGAGGACATGTCTCACCAGGAAAATCAAAAAATCCAGTGCCTTCTATTAAAAAACCATACTGTTCTGGATGATGGAATAAACATGGAGGATTAATCAAAAATTCCAATAGGAAATAGGAAACATATATTCTGGCAGACTTCTATAATCAAAGACCAAACCTTAGAGAGTGTGTGTATAGATGTATGGTAATTGTGGGTTTGATAGATATGGGTGTGGATGTGAGTATCATTACTTCAGAATCTTGTCATCCAAATTTGCCTCTTCCAGAGGCATATGTTAAATTCCTAGGAATTGGAACCCTATCTCAAGTGAAGCAATGCTCAAGGTGGGTTGAATGAATAGGGCTAAAAGGACAGAGAGGAAGTCTGAGATTGCATGTGGCTAATATCATAGTAAGTTTATGGGGTCATGACCTACTGCAGCAATGAATTACCCAGATTAACATTCCTGCAGTCCCAGAAACTCATATTTCTGGGAAGGATATTATAAAGTACTATACACAAAGGACACCAGCCATTTAGGCTGTACAAGAACACAAAGCAACTAGCAAACCTTTAGAGGTACCAACAGACCTACCTTTAAAATGGTTAACTGAGAAACCAATATGGCTTTTGACAGAAGAAAAACTGCAGGCTTTAGAACAGCTGGTACAGGAGCAACTAGATGATCAACATATTGAAGAATCAACCAACCCTTGGAATTTTCCTGTATTTGTGGTTAAAAAAGAAATATTGTAAATGGAGAACGGTGACAGATCTAATAGCTGTCAACAAGGTAATTCCAGCCATGGGCCCTCTACAATCTGGACTTCCTCTGCCTTCTCTATTACTAAAAGGATGGTCTCTTAAGTTACTGACTTAAAAGATTATTTCCTCACTATACCTTTACAAGAAAAGGACAGAGAAAAATTTACCTTCACAGTGCCTACTTATAATAATTCTCAGCATACTAGGAGATACCAGTGAAACGTCCTTCCACAGGGAATGCTCAATAGCTCCACCCTGTGCCAATTCTTTGTAAGCCAGTCATTGGAAATATTATATAAGCAACTTCCTAAATCTATAACTTACCATTACATGGATGACATTTTGCTATCTGATTCAAACATAGATACTTTAGAAAGAATGTCTGAAGAAGTAAAGAAAGTTTTGCCAAAATGGGGAATATAAATCACTCCTGAAAAAATACAGAGAGATTCTGTAAATTACCTAGGTTATAAAGAAAATAGGTTTACAGAAAATTAGAACACAAAATGCACAAATTAGAAGAGACCAATTGCGAACTCCTAATGACTTTCAATGATTGTTAGGAAACATTTCCAGTGTATGACCAGGTGTTGGGATAACACCTGATCCAAAGGTTCATTTAAAAAAAACCTTAGATGGTAACAAATACTTAAATAGTCCCAGGGAATTAACAGTTAAACCTGAAAAGAAATTGATTGTAGTTGAAGAAAAATTACAGGAAGCACATGTGGATAGGGTGAATCCAAATTTTAATTGTATTGGCTTCCAGAATTTCCCCTATAGGAATTTTAATGTAAAGTAAAGATATTATCTTAGAATGAATCTTTTTACAATATAAACCTACTAAAAAATTTTTAAAAAATGTGGAAAAGATCTCTGAATTAATCATAAAAGGAAAATTGAGACTTCATCAACTAGCAGAAATAGACCCAGTAGAGATTATAGTGCTTTTTACTGCTGATGAAAAAAACCCCAATTCTTTGATAGCTGGACCTTACTAAACCATTACATTCTTACAGCTGGCCACCATGCTCTATTCCATTGTTTGTCCACTTCCTCCTCCTGAGGCTGACTTCCAAGGTCCAGCTATCAAAAGTCCCTTTCGGCTGCCCTAATTAACATGCCCAATCAAAGTTAAGCACCTCATCCTAAGACAGGGTTTTCCTCTTTCCCATTTTGTATCGGCCATCCAGTGGCAGTCCTTTCTCCCACCTGGGCAAATATCCTTTCTTTCTCTCCCAAAAGCTCCATAACCTACCAAAACAGTGGCACCATCTGGACAGCAAATGTTCAAACACATAAGCCTGTGGGGAATATTTGGCGTTCAGTCTGTAACAGCAGCCTCCACCAGGAACTCGGTTGGCAGCTTCTAGTTTGCCATGAGGAAGCTAAAGAATCATTGACAGGCAAGCAACAGGCTTTCCAAATGTGGCCTTGCCCTAATATGACCCTTGATGCTCTGCCAAAGACTTGTGTTCATCCCTGTCTGAATCATGTTGAATCTGCTGCCATTGTGGCTCCAAAATGTATGCCCACATGATGGAGGCTTAGAGGTCTTGATACCTTTACTCTGGTCTTAGCTACCTCCATGTTCCTTGAACCTTAGCCTGCTCCATGATTTCTTTGTCAACTCAGACAAGACTCTCCTACAAATAATACAGACTTTGAGGTGCTGGCAGACCATGAAATGCAAGATAGTGGCAAGCCTTACCTCTGAATTAGTGATAATGACATTTCTTTTAGCTAGGCTCACTTTGTAGCTGGGACTCAAGTGCTGACACTGGTGGGTAGCTTGATTTCACTCACAGTTGCTCTGTGTAACCAGCTGTTTTGTGAGCAAACTGCACATTTGCACTTCCCTAGCTCAGATGCTACACCCACCTTGGGGAAAGTCTGCTACAATCTTCTCCACTGATTGATTCCTCCATATAGATCAAGTCTCATAAATGATGGAGGAGGGTCATCTGTCTATGTGTTACTTTCATTGGTTAATAAAGAGACTGCCTTGGCCTTTGATAGGACAGCAGCTTAGATAGGCAGAGTAGACAGAACAGAATGCTGGGAGAAAGAAAGCAGGTTCGAAAGAGCCACCTCCATGAGCTGCCAGGTCAGACATGCTGAATCTCTCCCGATAAGCCACGACCTTGTGGTGATATACAGATTATTAGAAATGGGTTGAATCAATATGTGAGAGATAGCCAATAAGAGGCTGGAGGTAATGTGCCAGGCAGTGTTTAAATGAATATAGTTTCCATGTAATTATTTCAGGTATAAGGCTAGCCGGGAGCCGGGCAGGTGGCAGGAACTGGCCTGCCGCTCCTTCAGCACAAAAACATACACAAAGTTTAAGCATCTCACTAGTTAAAAGGCTATCTATCTGCTCCTTATAAGGGTCCAAGTTACATCAACTTGAAGCCGGTGTTCTCTCTCTCCCCTATCTCCCACATTCCTCCTTACATCCTACCCTTACCCCCTCAGAATCCATGTAAAATGTCTTTCCTCAAAAGTTTTGACCATATTTTTCCCAAGCTGTTCCTTAGCCCTTCTCAGGGAAATCCTGATTAATTTCTCTTTGGCCTGAGAAGCTTCCCTCCCTGCTGGCAGAAGCTAATGAACCTCTCCTAGAGTCTTGACCCCAAGACTTCCCAGGAAAAACCTCTACCTCACTACATCTCACCCCCTCCCCACATCTTCTGGTCTTTATTGCTGTGTTGAAATTCCAAAGTTTTTACTGTCCCTCAAGCCCAAAATGCTACTGAGAGCCTTCTTCAATGTAAGATCCCACCAAGACTGCCTTCCATCTTTCTCCTTAGAGTTCACCAGAGGCCCGGCTAAATGCTACATCAAAGTGCTGGCTTGCAGATGACCCTGTGCTATGCCCATCAGTCCTGTTTTTGTGGCCCTACATATGCGACCTAGTCCTCACGTCCAAAGACTCCCCTACTTTGCCACACATGACTCCTGAGGAGTGTCTATGATGTAAGGCTCCACTCTACCTGCTTGTCTGTTTTCTCCTGAGAGCACACTGTCTCTGCCTCCAATAAGCCCAAGTAAACTGCAGGGGAGAAGTGCTGACTTCCAGCCTGACCCTGGTCAGGAAGCCCTGAGAAGAGACAACAGGGCCCTCACTGATGTGTAGGAAACAACTGGGGCAAAGAGCACTCATCTCACAAGGATAGCTTGTAAGAGGAGGCCCCTCTGTGTCTTGTCTGATTTGGTGAGGTACTTCCTCAGCTAATCTGCATGAGGAGTATGATATCTTGGTTCTGAAGAGCTGCCAAGTTCACAAAGCTGAGCACTGTGTGGGGCCTGTTATCTAGATAAGCGCTGCAGGGGCTGAGAAGGATGCATCCAGCGAAACAGTCCCATTAACATGGTGGCTTAGTGAGGGCATGATGGTTAGGAGGGGGCAGCAAGTCAGTTTGGACCATCAGGATCCATCATCCTAAAACAACCAGAGCTCAGAGAGAAGAGAAGGCCAGCTTGTCCTGAGTACACGCCTCTCCCAGCAGTTGTGTGCCAAGGACCAGGCTGGGAGCCAGAGGTGGCAGTGTTCTAGGAGGAAAGAGGCTGTGATATGAAGGGGACAGAGAGGAGAGGGAGGCCACCACAATGGTGAGGAACTCTGGGCCAGCCAGAGCCAGTTTCCTCTCCAGGTGAAGCTTATGCAGATCTGGAGATGATGAAATGAGGATCCCCTCCCGTGTCACATTCCAGCCCTTGACTTTTGGTTTATGATTGACCAGGAGTCAGCTAATGAAGGGACAGGCCAGATCTGCTCCCTAGAGCCTCATGAGACCCTGGTACGTTCTACTGGGTGTCATTGGAGGTTGAGGCCATCCTGGGCACTCTTGCAACTGTGGTATCAGGTGAGAGAAAAGAGGGCTGAGACTCGGGGATCTCTAAGGGTCTTGAGCCCCACACCCTTGAAGAGGACCCATGGGTGGAATGTTTTTGGTTTGACGCTTTGCTTTTCTGTAGACTGAGGCTTTCCAACTGCTGGGAAAAGGATCTGCTGATACTTGTGCCTGGAAACACAGAAGAGTTCAGTGTCAGGATCCTGAAGAGGAAACAAAGACCTCAGAACAACATAGTTTCCCAGCGTACCCCAATATCCAAGGTGAGATAACACATAGTCGGATAAGGAGTGTGACAGGGAAGGTATGCACATAGCTTACTGTAGTAAATCTTCAGAGCAGCCTAGAAACCAGGTAATGATTTACCATGGTCTACAGATGAAGACACACAGGCATGACAAGGGGCATGTCCCAGGGTCACATGGCAAGAAGAGGGAAGAAGCAACGACTGTTAGGAGACGCTGACATGAGGCTTTCTCTCGGTAGCAGTGTCCTTCTTCCTCCTATGTGTTGACAGAGGCACAGCCATCTGTAGAGTCTCCCTGGTTTCTGGGAGGCTGGGAGAGGTTTGGGGACTGACCTGGCTTCCTCTGTCTTCTGCAGGACTCAGGGAAGCTGTGCAAGAAGGTCTCGCTGTCCCTGTGATCACTGATATTTGAGAGCCAGAGGTCTCCCATGGCTCCTTATCACATCCGCCAGTACCAGGAGAGGGACCACAAAAGAGCCCTAGAATTATTCTCTACGGGCATGGAGGAGCATATCCCTGCTGTCTTCAGCCATATTTTGACACTGCCCCAGACTCTCCTGACCTTACTTGGGATGCTCGTGACCATAGTCCTGGTTCATGGCTCCTGGCTCCTGGCCACAGTGTGGTGCCTCCTTGCACTCCTTTGCCTGTGGCTCTTTATCTGGCATTCTTGCAGAAAGTATATATCTACATGCTTGCAAGCAGACATGGCTGACATCACTAAGTCGTACCTGAATGCACG